CCCCCCCCCCTCCAAAACCACATCCCCCTGGGGCAGCTGCCTTCCCGGCCCCTCAGCCCCGCTGGGCCAGGCAGCAAACTCCCTGGAGCTGGGGGACCACGCCTTCTGTCCAATAGCGGCAGGTCTTTCAAACAGCCCGACGCGAGCCTGGCTGGTCCTGAGTCATCTCTGCACGTGTTTGTCCGCGCTTACTTTGCTGCCGGTAGCGTTCCTGGAAACAGTTCGGGGTACACCTCGGGATGCTGGAGGAAGTTAAGAGCTAAGGCAGAACGGTCGGAGAAAGCAGTCACTTTTGAAGTGACTTTGCAGCTGTGGCTGGTGCCAGCGGGGTGCGCCGGGGGAAGTGGGCTGGCGCCCGAGGTCCACGCAGGTGCGGCTCCGGGGCCCCTGCACCGCACGTGGGCGCAGCGCGCTTCCCAGGCCGCCTGGGTGGGCACCTCCCTGGCCAGCTCAGCCTTCCGCCCGCCAGGATGCGCCCCCTCCGCGCTGTGCTGGGACTGCTGCTCCTGGGGGTGCTGGGAGCCTTCCCGCAGGTAAGCGGTCCGGTGGTCCGGAGTCCCCTCTTTGCCGCCACTGCCCAGAGCCCCTGGGAGCGTGGGCAGCGTGGGGGGCGGGGGAGGCCAGGGAGTCTCCTCCCCTCATTAGCGCCCAGCTGGGGTGAGGGGGCACAGATGACAAGGAGGGGGGGCCGCAATGTGCAAGTATTCACAGGTGGGAGGTGGGCCGGCTGATGGGGGCCCCTCCTCTCCCCGCCCGGGGCGGAATGCTGGGATTATTCATTCCGTCCACGGCAACTGAGCGGTGGGGGGCTGCCTGCAGGAGGTAGGCTGTTTGTGGGTGGGGGTCCTGGGCAGGCCAGCTGGGGCCTCCATGACCAGAAGAAGTCGGTGTTGGGGCTCTCCCTGCTACTTGCCCCTGGTCCCTAAAACGGTTGGCTTGGGGGAGTGGAGTGTGAGTGCGAGGCAGGGGTGAGGGTGCTAGACAGGCCAGACTTAGTATCCCCCCCACCACCCCTGTCTGGATTCCTTGCCCTGGAGCACGTGGTAGGTGTCCGCCCCTGGAGAAAGGTCAGTGGTGGGGCTGACGTCTGTTGTAGGAAAACCCGTGAAGCAAATATGGGGACTACTTTAGGAAAACTGTGCACTTACCAGTGGCCAGCACTGAGCTAGGCATGGGGTGGGGGGAGAGCTCAGGTTAACCAGAGGTGGTCTACCATGCCAGCGCCCAAGCGGCGGGTCTGAAGAGGAGAGACAGGCCTGTGGCTGACCATAATACCCGGGTGGAACACAGTAGGTGTTGGTGAGGGCCCGCCCAATCTTGGTACCAAGGACAAGAGTGGGAACAGCAGTCTACTGAGGGAGGGGCAGGCCCACCCCCTTTAATCCTATAGGAAGGGTCCCTCCAGTGTGGAGGTCAGTCCTATTCATCCCAACCTCGGGAGCCGGGAGCAGGGGAAGAGGGAAGAGGGGTGGGCTTCAGGCAGGAGGAGGAAGAGTTTAGGTAGAAACGGGGGCCAGCAAATGCCTCCCACCCCGCCCCAGTCTTCAATGGGACTGTATGAGACCACCCCCCAACAGAGGGCAGAGGGGGCAGCTGATGCCCTGGCTAGAGAACCCTCCTGGCCCTTCAAGTCCTCTGCTGGTGACCTGGGGGAGGGTGTGAGTTTGGGGTGCCAAAGTCTTGGGGAGATAAAGGGAAAGAAGGAATGTGAGGCAGGACTTGGGGGCTTTGCTAGTGTTTGGTGGCTGGAACTCCTATGCTTCCTTTCTATAGCGAGAAACCCCTGTTTAGATGAAAAACAAAAAAAGGATGCATTTAATGACACAGGGATATATGAATATATCCTCAGTGCAGAAAGTACAGATAAAGCTAAATCTTTGGACCTCACCTCTTCTTGATTCCTTTGGAGGTGTAACTGCCTTTATGGCCCTGATGTTTCCTTGGCCGACCTTGATAAACGCGTGTCCATATTTTATTAGTGTTGTAGAAGTAGGTGGGGTTTTCCATGTACTCCGCGGTGTGTACCATCCTTCATTTGGCTGTTACTGTCTGCAGTAGGTCTTGGGGATACTGCCTCAGCGAGCCCCTGTTTATCCTTTAAAATGCTGTCTACTGTTCTACCAAATGGGGGCTTCCATTGTTTTACTTGTTTATGTCCCCGATGGGTGGGTGATGAGGTTCCTCCCACTGTTTTTTGTTTGTTTGCTATTGCAACGTATAGCCCCACAGCCCCGTATGGATGCTTCTGGGAACGCGTATGCTGCTTTCCCAGAGAAGAAGCTGAGAAGAGAATGTAGAGGTTGCTGGGTGAAAACGCATTCAGATTACAAGACGCCACTGAATTGCCTTCCAAGGTGGCTGGACAATTTACCCCCGACCAGTAGTACATGAGTATCGACTTCCCCACATCCTAACCGACCTTTGATCTTATCAGAGTTTTTATTTTTGTCAACGTGACCGGTGAAAAGGGCCATATCCTTGTTGTCTTAATTTGCATTTCCCGCCTACTAGAGAGACTGAGTGACTGTCGTGGGCTAAGACACTGGGTCATTTCTTGGCAGGAATCGGGCTCCCTGTGGGGGTGGGGGCTGCCAGCTCCTCCTGGGACACCCTTCGACTCAACCAAGCTTTCTTCTGCCTCTGCTGTCCCAGTAAAGTTTTAGGAATTCATTATTTTTTTTAAAATTTTTTTATTCATTTTTGAGAAAGAGAGAGACAGAACGTTAGTTGGGGAGGGGCAGAGAGAGAGGGAGACACAGAATCCGAAGCAGGCTCCAGGCTCCGAGCTGTCAGCACAGAGCCCAACATGGGGCTCGAACCCACAAACTGTGAGATCATGACCTGAGCTGAAGTCGGACGCTTAACCCACTGAGCCACCCAGGCGCCCCTAGGAATTCATTGCTCAAAAAAAAAAAAAAAAAAAAAAAAGAAAAAAAGAAAAAAAAAATCCCAAGTCAAGGGTTGCATTTTAAATCTTTTTTCTCACCGTCTGATTTGAGACTCCATCATTTTGTGGTTGACGCCCGAGATGAGAATGCTTTCTTGCTGTGTGTCACCTTCTGAGAAAGAGATTTGGCTTCTGATGCCTGATACCATAGTCTCCCCAAGAGTGGTTTTTGTAATGTGACCCACGATTGCTCTGATGTGACTCTGGAGAAGAATTCATTGCCCTAATGCCTCCCCCTCCCCTTCAGCCTCCATCCTTCGCACCCCGGTGCTGGCGGCCGCGCAGGGACGCCCAGGGTCTTTCCACGAGCTCTTGCAGCCTTCACATTCCCATCCTGGGCTTCCAGCGCTGAAGTTACGACACAACTCCCTCCCACACCCGCTCCCTCCCGTTCCACCTCCTTTTCCCTCCAGCCAGATGTAGACCTTTGAGGCTCCCGCTGGGCACGGTTCTTGTTTGCTGGCATGGCTGATAAGCTCTGCGTGTCTCTCTTCTCACCAGGCTTTCCAGAGCTGGGCTGGTGACCCCGTGGAGTGGAGTGCTGATCAGTGGGTTTTAGGTACCGGCAGATGGAGAGGAGAGAGTTTCCGGTTTTGTTTGGGAAAGGGGACTTTTCCGGGGCCGCTCAAACGGGCAGTTTATGCACCAGGAGGAAGGGACCTGGAGGGCAGGGGTGCCGGATGTGAAGAGCGGTCAGCGGGGAGCTTTGGGTTGGTCTTACTCAGGGCCTCCCTTCCCTCAGAGAGAGGCTGGGGCAGCCAGGAGAGCACAGTGGGGTTTGAGAGGGGCCATTAGTCAGCTTGAGAGCAGTCAGTGCTGGAAGAAGGGCAGCGTTTACTGTAAGTTTCTGACTGTGCTCTCACTCATATCTGACCTAGACTTGTTTCTTGAGTTGATTGTGATTCATCCTTAAGCTCAAATACACCTTTCTCAACACCGCTTTCACCTCGGGAACATCATCAGAAGGAAAAGGGGGCTGAGGGATGTGTGTGCCAGGGTCTGGGGAGCCCCGGAAACCTGGGGGTCCTTGGCACAGATAGGTAGGTTAGGCCAGCCGGGGCCGGCGTGACCTCATGGTCTGTCTGGGGTCATGGTCCCCATTTCCCAAAGAAGCAGAGGCTCCGAGGCAGAGGAGGGCCTTGTCCACAGTCCCAGGACTGGTCAGGGGTTGAACAGGACCACCGTGCCAGACCCTAGGGACAGAATGTCAAAAAAGGCACCTTAAGCGAGACAGTTCTCCAACATCTCTCTCTCTCTCTCTCTCTCCTGCCACCTCCCCCAAGGGGCCCTTGGGGTGGAGGTAGGAAGATTTCAGTCCCAAATCTTTACTGCCTCTGGTTGAAAACTGCTGGCATCCTCAGTGGCCTCGCTGGTGGGAAGGGACTTTTATATGTCACCCAGTTCAATTGCTTATTGACTTCTTCAGTCTTCAGGGACATGCATCTGAATACTTCATTCATTCATTCATTCATAAAATCATAAAGCTGCTCTGTGTCTGGCATGTGCTGAGTGCTGTGTAAAGGTAAGCCATTATTAAGCTCCTGTTGTATGCTAGGTATGGTGAATGCAGGATGAAGGTGAACCAGTCCTTGCCCTTGAGGATAGTGAGAAGAGGGACACGGAGGAGAGTGACCGGTGCTATGTAGAACTCTGTCCCCCACCAGCGGGATCCCACAAAGGGCCTGCCCTCTCCTCCACCTGGGTTGGTGGGGGACAGCTTTTGGAGTGGGGGAGATGAGACGGCCAGGCTGTAGAGTGAGTGACAAGAAGCTGTGTACCGTGGATGGTGCCAACGTCCTCACCAAGGGCCGGGTGGAACAGCACGTCAGTGAGGGTATGTGTGCGGGCCCGGCGCTCGGAAGCTCCATCATTAACTTCCACGCAAGGTCTCTGAGCCTCCAAAAGCTACATGCCTGACACGCTTCCTGCACCGGGGGAGTGCACGCTTTGCTGAAAAGGTTCCAATCGCCCAGGACCATGAAACCCCTAAACCAAATCTTTGCCTTCCTGCTCAGAATGTGTGTGTCCACCGCTGCTGTGTCAGAAGAGGGAGGCCAAGAGTTGGGTCTTGGGGAGGCTGGGAACCTGGCTTCCCTCTCGTGCAGGCTGGGATGGAGGTGGTCGAGGAAGCAAGCCGGCCCCTCTAGCTGGGGGAGGAACTCAAGGCACCTCGGAGGGCAAAAGCCCAAGTACCACTGGGTACTTCTTTTTTTTTTTTTTAACGTTTATTTATTTTGGGGACAGAGAGAGACAGAGCATGAACGGGGGAGGGGCAGAGAGAGAGGGAGACACAGAATCGGAAGCAGGCTCCAGGCTCCGAGCCATCAGCCCAGAGCCCGACGCGGGGCTCGAACCTGCGGACCGTGAGATCGTGACCCGAGCTGAAGTCGGACGCTTAACTGACTGAGCCACCCAGGCGCCCCATTGGGTACTTCTTTAATGCCATTAAACTTTCCCTGGCAGCTGCTGGTGTCCCTCGGTGGCTGCCGCTGGGACTGGTGGTCCAGGGCTGGCAGATTTTATCCCATCTGAGGTATAGCTGAGTGTGAGCCCCAAGGACTTGCTGCAGCCCCAGAACTTTCGGGA